ATCTGTACAAAACTATCTTTCCCAGTGTGGTTAGAAGATGAGAAATAGAAAATTAGAAAGGTGGAAGTTGGGTCTAGAGGTGGTGCCGCACTAAGTAGAAGGGAGCATGAGGCTTTCTGTTCTGTGTATTCTGCTTTTCTTTGGCATGGATTTAATTGGGCAAAAGTAGGTAATAACTTTTTTTTTAAAGATAATACATATAAAGTACTTATAAATACTTATAAAGTATCAGTGTTTTCAGTGTTAGCTTTTAGTATTTATCCTAGAATATATTTTTAAGAGATGATGACTTGCTAACCTAAATGAAAACTTCATTTTAGGAGCTTCTGAGCTAATCACACTCATCCTTAACAAGATTTTGTCAAATTAATTGTTAATAAGGCATCTTGAAGAAAACTTTAAAAAATGCTTAGTATAATATGCATCTTTAAGTTCTTTCAATTAAGAGTGTTATTTTTTTGAAGGAGCTCTTCCTAAGGCATATCCTGATAATCATCTCAGTCAGGTGGATGTAAATGAATTATTTTCAAAACTGCTAAAAACAGGAATTCTCAAATTGTCTCAGCCTGATTCAGCTACAACACGTAAGTATGGTTCTATACGATGTTCATCTATACAAAATTTCACTGTTATAAAGATGTATGTATAATATGATACAAGTTATGATAAAAGTTCTTACAATAATTGGATTTTTTATTTTTTTTCTGAAAATCAAATAAAATTGGTTTATAATGAAATTCTTCAAAAATTTTCTAAGATGGCACTAATACCTTTATAGTGCACATTGTTTCAGTTAACATTCCTACAAATGTCATGTGCAGATTCTTCACTAGGTATTCTTTATTAATTTAGCTTTTTAAAATAATTTGAATATTGGTGAAATAAAATTTCATGAAAATTGACTTTTAAGAAATCATACCTAGTATTGCTTATCAAAATAAAGAATTGTATTCATTTCCTTGGCCAGTAAATACAACGAATAGACAAGATGGGATTCTCTATGCTTACAATACACAATAGTGTTCCCCTATAATAAGAATGCTTAGAGAATGGTATTGAGAAAATTTTTTTTTTTTCAATTGAAGAAGTAAATGAAGTTGCTGCTCAGCCTCCCCCTGAAGAGGAGGAAGATCAAAATGAAGATCAAGATGTTCCAGATCTTACCAATTTTACAATTGAAGAATTGAAACAGTATGTAATCTGATTTTCTTATTTTCCAAGATAAAAAGGACAGTGACTTTAATTAAACAGTGGATATTATTATTAGTGCTATTCATTTTACCCCTCTTACTGTTTATAAAATTTAGGAAGCACATTTTCTTTTTTTTAAACCAGTTTTAAGTTTTTAAATTCTCTTTTAAAATATGTCTGCTGCACAAGTATTTAGGCCAAAAGGTCTTCTCTAAATTACTATTTTTTACTATCTGTGTTTGGTACAGTAAATATGGGGAGTTAAAATATTAGCTATTGATAATCATGTCTTCCTTTTATATCTTCATTTCTCTTTAATCATTACATTTTCTTTATTTGATATTCTTGTGCTTTTGAAGATATGAAAAAGATTTTTAGAGTCTAGTATTTAAATTTTTAAAAAATCTATTTTCATTTCATAAGTAATACACGTTCATTGTAGAACATTAGAAAATTCTGAGGTGCCTGGCTAGCTCAGTCCGTAGAGCATGCAACTCTTGATCTCAGGGTCAAGAAAATAAAATTAACCTACAACCTACATTTCTCACTTACAACCACTCATTTAACATTTGGTGCATATTTTTTCCCAATATTCTATTGCCTGTATCGCTCATATAAAAATACTTAAAGGTGCTTTATGGACTCATTATATCCTCATGGGTACTTTATAAAAATACAGGCACCTAGTGGGTTATACCTTTTAAAATAAACTTTTTTTCAAAGTAATTCACATAATTAAAGTTTTATAATGAAAGGCTTACAATAAAGGCTTATAATAAAAGATGGCATCCTTTTCTTCTGGTACTAGTCGTCACCCAGAATCATTTTTTAACCATTTTTAACTCTTTAGTTATGGTTCCTTATATTTACTTCTCTATTTCTTAAAAGATTCATATTTTTCTGATTTGTCACATTTCTTGATTTATCACATTTAGACAATCTTGACTTCTTGAAAATGAAGATTGAGCTAGCTCTTTTATTGTCCTACCAACTCTTCCTCATACAGTTATAAAACCATTTTTTATTAAATCATAATTCAGTATTAACAGTTAATAACTGCTGTCTTTGTTCAGTTAGTTGGTCTGTATACCTATTTCTTTCCAAATAGGGAGCCCAGAATTTTAAGGATTGATGCAGACCTCAGTTTGCCATTAGTTTAATTTTTCTTTTTAGTAATCTGTACTATCATTATTTCTTGTGTACTACTTTGACCTTTCTTTCTTTTTTTTTTTTTTTTTTAAAGATTTTATTTATTTATTTGGGAGAGAAAATGAGGGAGAGAGCATGAGAGGGGGGAGGGTCAGAGAGAGAGGCAGACTCCCTGCCGAGCAGGGAGCCTGATGCGGGACTCGATCCCGGGACTCCAGGATCATGACCTGAGCCGAAGGCAGTCGCTTAACCAACTGAGCCACCCAGGCGCCCGACTTTGACCTTTCTTTAGATGAGGGGTGGGGCAGTTAGCAGGTGATCATTCCCATTTTTAGCTAGAAAGGAAATAACTGCACCAGGCCTATCAATAAGAGGATAGACTCCCATGTTCTAAAATTCACCAGTTATTTTAAAGAGGGTTAATGACACACTATTAGAGAATAATACTGATCTTTGGGGTATTCTTTCAGCCGGCTTTTGGTTGAAACATTATTTCATCACATAATAATGGCTTCACCATTATTAAAATATGGAAAACTGAAATATTTGTAACTGTCTTTTTTTTTAAAGGCCATTTAGCCATGTTATCAAAACTAAAGATGATTTCTGTGTTTTTCAAAATAGACGTTATGATAGTGTTATAAATCGACTGTACACTGGTATTCAGTGTTACTCCTGTGGAATGAGGTTTACAACATCACAGACAGATGTATATGCAGATCACTTGGACTGGCATTATCGGCAAAATAGAACTGAAAAAGATGTTAGCAGAAAAGTCACTCATAGACGTTGGTACTACAGTTTAACGGTAAGTAATCAGTATACCTCCAAACCATCTTTTAACCTTTAAATCATATAGTTCTATAAGTGTATTAGTTTAAAAAATTGCTGGGAGCTATTTCATGAATTTTCTGAATAGAATTTGACCCCTAGAATATAAAAGGTATTTTTAAATAAATTTGAAGAGTATATAATATGTTTCTTCTAACTCTAGAATTCCAATTTTTCTGTGACTTTTTTTTGGTAAAAAAATTGTATGTGAAGTTTATCTTGTTTAGATCAGTAGTTGTAATTCTAGAGGTAATGGACAATGAACATTAAGATCTTAATTTTTCAGTAGTTGCTTTATGTAGTCTATTAGTTATGGGGTTCATAGAGAAGGTATAATTAAAAAAAACCAGTATTAAAGTATTTTGTAGACAACTGTACCCTTATCTTTCAGTGGCATTATATTAAAGATAAGCAGTAAAAGTTTAGAAACAAATGAAAATATTCTTTTTAAATCAACTCCTTTTAAGGACTGGATAGAATTTGAGGAAATAGCTGATTTAGAAGAACGTGCAAAGAGCCAGTTTTTTGAAAAGGTGCACGAAGAAGTCGTGCTCAAGACTCAGGAGGCTGCTAAAGAAAAGGAGTTCCAAAGTGTACCTGCTGGACCAGCTGGAGCAGTTGAGGTAAGAGAAGAATATTAAATTTTCTACCTCTCGTAATGTCCCTGACTTCCTTATCAGTTACCAAAAACAGTGAAATGTTAACTATTTTTGCATGGAAGAATGCAAAATCCTTAAAACTTATTTTGTATCTGTACTATATGTTGAACTTTCAGATAACTCTTAAATTCCTTCTTCTACCTTAATTGTTTATATATATTTACCTCATGTGATTGAATGTGTTCTATAAATTTCATTTTATATGATTCTATTTTAGAGTTGTGAAATCTGTCAAGAACAGTTTGAACAATATTGGGATGAAGAAGAGGAGGAATGGCATTTAAAAAATGCTATTAGAGTAGATGGAAAGGTAATTTTCAGTTCTTTATAAAAGTGTTAAGATTATATTTTTTTGTAGGGGTAACTTGCCACTTTGAAATAAAAATATTTTTGTTTTTTTGATTTTTATAAGAAAGGTGTTGGACTTGATAGTGTTTGAGTTGGAAGGTATCTTAGCCATCAACTGGTTCTATACTTATTTTATATAAGAGGTTGCATAACTACTTAATGATAAACCCAGACTGGGTCTTCTAAATCTAGTTAGTCTTCTTTCTGCCTAACCACACTATTTTGATTTTGAATTTATATTTCATTATAAAAAACTGTTACTGTCTTCAGAGTATACCATGTTACCTACTTAAATGTATAAACCAAGTTTAAGGAGAAATTGGGATGAAATTTTTTTAATCCACATTTGTGACAAATTGGTTTTTGTTACCTTTTCAAAGATAGCTATTTTCTGGTGTAAATTTAAAAAGAAAATCATATCAGAATAGTCTGTTAGAAATGAATATACATGTGAATACCTGCTTTTTTTTCTTATTGCTTCAGATTTATCATCCATCATGTTATGAAGATTATCAGAATGTAAGTTCTTTTTGGTTACTCTTTGTTCTTATTTACATGAATAAATTTTGTTATTTTTTTGCATCAGAGCAATATTGTTATTTTAACCTTACTGATGTATTCAGCTGTTTTGTGTTTTGATGTATCATTTAGGTTGTTCACCAAATATTGGTGCTACATTGATAGGATCTGATTTAAATTTTGAAATTTCTGTATTCCTTGCATTCTATTCACTTGAGTCTTGATGTCTTTAACTAGAGCAGTAGGCCTAGAGAAATGTGAGAGAAACTGAAGATCGGGATCATGATGGGAACAGGTTTCTAGAGTTATGGGTAGCACTTACTGCCTTTTTTTTTTTTTTTTTTTAAGCCATATAACATAGGAATAATTTTTAAATGATCACAAGTGAAATCTGAAAGACATGTCTATTGACCTTAGAAGTTCACATTTTCATATTTGAGAGTAACCATTTTTTTTTAAACCAAACAACACACTGGTTCAGGAGGCAGTTTGGAAGATTTATTTAGGTCATTGAAAGAGTAGACTTTCTAGGACGTTTTGATGGTCTGTGAGGTGAGAGTATTTGAAATTAGGATAGTCATAAAAATTCCAGAGTATGTGTAGTGGTTACCATCTCTGGGGTTAACAATAGAGGTATGTCTAATCAACTTCTTTTGGCCTTAAATTGGTTACTGCTTTTCTTGGCTTAGATCATTGCTGAATACGTATTAAATGCTCAGTATACCTTTTATTTGGCTGCTTTCATGGCTTTTTATGGGGAAGCAGGTATTTCAGTTGCATTCGGTATATGTATGTTTTTTTGCCCATACAAGGGGTCTTAAACTAAATGTCATTTAATGTGATACTTTTGAACTTTAATCAGAACTTACAGAGCTTTTCATTTTGTAGACATCTTCATTTGATTGTACACCATCTCCCAGCAAGACACCAGTTGAAAACCCTTTGAACATTATGTTGAACATTGTCAAAAACGAATTACAGGAACCCTGTGAAAGTCCCAAAGTTAAGGAAGAACGAATTGATACCCCACCAGCTTGTACAGAGGAAAGCATAGCAACACCCACTGAAATTAAAACAGAAAATGATACAGTCGAGTCAGTTTAAATAAAATGAGAAAGGTATGTTTTTCTTTTTAAAAAAAAGCTGCTGTTGGATATAGAAGGTGAAGAATTTTTTATGTATATATAGACATATATCTATATAAATTGTCTAGCTGAGGCAGGGCCTTCAGCTATCATTTGGTTAATAAATACATTTTAGTATTTGCATTTCCTACTGCCTGCACAGTTTCAGGTGCTTGTTGTGTGAAAGTTCTGTAGATGTGTGCAAATTTAACAAAATGAAATTGTATGTGTAAAAATGTACGATTTTCACTTGTGAAACTGTAAATTATAAATAAAAAATATTTTTGCTATCCATGGAGTGTAATATTTATGCACACCATCAAATAAAGACAGTGTTTCTGTACTTTTTATTGGGTGAAAATGGAATTAAACAGCAACCTCAACGTAAGATTTTTTTTTCTAGTAGCTTCCCATGATTAAAGAAGCAAATTCTGGTTAGTTTTATCCTTCAAAAGAGGGGTGTGAGAGAGCACTGCAGGACTTTTCTCAAATAGAAAAGCCAGATTTGAAAAAATTTTAAAAACGAAATAGGACTTTGCATATATATCTCTCTAGCTATAGAGAACCATCCAGATGTCCATTTTTGAAAAGTATCTAATGAAGCAACTTTTATTGAACTTGGACACTGATGCCATCAAACGATTAATAAATATATTTAAGTACTAAAGGTGATTTTTTTTTTAAATGACATTTTTCAAATATGTCAAATGATTTAATGCAGATGAACATATTTCTATTTTAAGTTACAGGGGAATCTGTAAGAATGTTCATTTGAAACATGGTTAACCTTTTTCCTTTGTTGGTTTTGACTGAATTAGATGGATACCATGAGATGTTAATATTCATACATGTAATAAATAGAATGATGAAGAAACTTCCAGTTTGTATCTCTTTATTTCTTGGATGACTTTAGAATGTGACTTCTTTTTCTTATGTCTTTGTTCATTACCGTTCTTTAAAACATGAACATGGCACCTGCTATAAGCCAGGAACTCTGAGATGAAGATTAATCTTTTCTGCCATCTACTGGAGGAGATGGGCATATAAAACAATTTTGTTTGTTGAGCATTTACTGTGGGGTAGGCACTGGCAAATTTTTTATATGTATCTTTAGTATTTACAGATAATCCTACATAGTAGATGGTATCCCCAACGTACAGATTGAATCACTCAATAAGAATGTAGAATAAGAATGTAGACCTGGTTTTGCTTCATTTTATTCTGTACTACCTCTACAATTAAAAAGAATACCTTAAGTAGGTACATCAAACTACCTGGAAGTGGCTTAAGGAGGACTTTATGGAGGTGGTGGTATTTGGGGTATTGGGTCTTGGAGGATAACTAGGAGTCCACACTGGTGGGAAGGGTATCTATGGAGAATGGACAGCAAACATAAAGGCTTGAAAACACATGTGTTTTCAAAAAATTTTTTATATGGTTAAAATCCAACAACTTTGAATAGATTATGAAGAGTCTTTTTGGTCATGCTTAAAAGTTTGTATTACACTGGTGAGCATGGGAGCCACCAGAAATTTTAAACAAATCCTATCTGCATCTTTTTTAAGAATCAAGTGAATAGAAATTTATGAGATTGTCAAATGTTATAAAGGGGTTCAGTAAGAAAAACTGGTAGGTGTCCACTGGATTTGAGAGGTGAAAACATTGTGTGCTAGCTGAATTTACGAATATAAACGAACACTGTCATGGAAGAAATGCTGGGGTCTAATCCAAAAACATAGGCAAAATTTTCTTTTGTCTTCTTTTGGGGGGATCATAACTTTTATCAAATGCTTAAAAGTATATGACAAAAGAAAGGCGACATTCAAACCTACCAGTGTATCAAGAGTATCCATATCAAGGGTCAAGTCCTTGAGGAGCAAACATATAGACTTAAGTAGAAGGGTAAGAAAGCACCATTGAGGAAAAAAAGAAAACAAACCGTAATGGTAAAAAAAATTTCGAAGAATGGGCAGTAAACAAAGTCAAGAAAATATGGAACGATATAGAAATATCCTCTAACAACTGATTGAAGAACAGGTGAGTATGGGTGTTAACACCAGTTGCAATGGGTTGTGTTGGGTGAGAGGTGACAAAATTGTAAGAGCTACTCTTTATGAAATTTAACTGGAAATTTAGTCAGAATGAGACAAAAAGATGTTAACATATATGTTAAAAGGAGTTAATGGGAGAGACTTGAAGACAGATGATAGACCAGTCTCAGAGTTGAAAAGAGATTATCAATAGCACGAAAGTAATTAGCTCTGGAGTGGCAGAGGGGCAATACTTCCTCTGAGATGATCATAGGTATTCAGTTGGAATTGAAAATCCAGTTCCTAGTTTTTCGTTGAGGTAGGAGGTTGGATATTGGGTAGTGATTTAGATGTGTGGCCCCCAAATTTAACCGCATTACAATCAGTGAATATTAAGAACAGATTGTTTATCTCTGGAGGGTCTCATTTAGTAGATTCTCATTCAGATCCCTCTACCATTTAGAAAGCTCCATAGTTATACATGAAAATAATGTCAATTATATCTGAATTTAAAAAAACCCCATAGTTGATTTTAATGAACAGCTAGATCTGATAACTGATCTAGAAAGCAACACTGAACTGTAGCCCCAAAAGATGGAAAAGTAATAGTCAACACTTACTACTGGGAACTAGAATGAGTAATCTACAACGGCAAGTGTAGCAAGGAAAACCAAAGGAAGCCTTATGTAAGATGGAATACTGTTTTTTGAAGTAACAGTTGAAGTTTGTGAGAACAGATAAAAGCATTTTATTTCCTAAAACCTGCAAATTTCATTGTTTATACTCTACAATGTTCTGATTTTAACATAATTGGTTAAAACTTAGTTTTAACTTTACTGTTCTGGAAAATACTACAAAGTAATCTGTTATTTAGCTAAAAATAAAATAAGCTTTAGCAAAAAAAAAAAAACCTCATACGATAAAAATTCAAAGATTTTCAAGCAACAACCAACCTAAAATAGACGATTCTAGTTTTGTTTTCCCAGCAGACTTTATTTACAACCTATTTAGCAATTACTAAATGCTACAAGAGGTTTATATGAAATATTCAGAAAAATACACAGCATCTAACTGCAGGGAAGTGGAAAGTTTTAGCAGACTAAAGAGGAGGTAATCTGGAGGTAAAAATGTGAAAGTCAGGCTATTATCAAAAAGGGCATGAACTTCTGCAGAAGTAGGGTTTTCTCCTAATCCTATATGGGGTCACTTTGCTGTGCAGGTGGGAAAAAGCAAGTTAAGAGCAAAAAAGTTCACCTACAGGGTGAAAGTTTGGAGGTGGGCATCAAAGGGAGAGCAAGAATGCCTGGGAAGCAAGAGAAGAGAGTATTTAGGCAGAAGGAAGTTGGTTACCAAAACGCATTTAATTGAATTTTTGGTCTGGGGTTGGCCCTGCTCCCTCCTCTGGAACTAAACGCAAAGAGCTGGTTTATGGGAAATTAGGCAGACCCCTCTTTGAAAAAACAGAGGTGGAACCATAAATTTCCTAAGAGCTCCACTTCTCTGGAATGCTGAGATGCCCACTTCATTGTGTTCTCGAATGCTTCACTTGAGACATTTCCTTTAATCAGTCCCTCACTTACCTTGAAATCCCGTGCATTCTGGGTTTTTACATCTTGACTCCTGAGTGTTACTAATGACTCCTTGCCAAAACCAGTGTTTTTCTTAACTTCTTAATCTTCCCTGGCCCATGTACTCCTTAAAAGTACTTTGTCTTGCTTTATATAACGTTTTTCTGTGCTTCTGTATTTTTATTTAGGAAGAATTTTTGTAAAACTTAAAAAATCAATACAGAAAAAGTCTCCTTTCACATCTTTCTTGTTTTATAAAGTACTGAGTTAATCATCTATAGATTCTTGGAAAAAAATTTTTACAAAGAAGGGGTGCCTGGGTGGCTCAGTCGTTAAGCGTCTGCTTTCGGTTCAGGTCATGATCCCAGGGTCCTGGGATCGAGCCCTGCATCGGGTTCCCTGCTCGGCAGGGAGCCTGCTTCTCCCTCTCCCACTCCCCCTGCTTGTGTTCCTTCTCTCGCTGTCAAATAAATAAAATCTTAAAAAAATGTAAAAAAAAATTTTAAAAAGAAATTTTAAAATACTAAGATTACATACATTTTGCCCCTTTTTTCATGTTAATGATGTAGATTTCATTTCTAAACTGTATTTCATAGAAATGTAGCATAATTTAGCCATTCTTTCACTGACGGATATCCAAGTGTCTCATTATTTACAACTATAACACGTTGCAATGACTATCCTACTGCAACAGAACGGAACGTTATTTTGAAGATTTTACAACTGGATAGTTCCCGACTCAGGGTAATGTATGTTTAGAGTTTTGACAGATATTGCCAAATTGTCCTTCATGGGTCACACCAATTTAAAATCTCACCAGCAGAGGCTTCAGACCTCTTCCAACACTCATTATCCATCTTTTAGTTTTTATCATAGTAACGTGCTAAGAGCATTCTTTCTCAATGAGTTTTGAGTAAATTTTTTTTTTCAAATTGAAGTATAGTTGACATACAACATTCATTAGTCTCGGGTGTACTTGTTTTGGTATTTTTAATCACACTTTTTGCTCATTAGTTCTTCTAGAGTTACTCTCAGACTTGATAATAAATATTGTCTACCTCTGGTCTCAACTTCATGCTAATGCATCTTGTAGCCTTTTAAATGTTTATAAATTTTTTCTCTGTGATCTTTGGAGTTTGCATTGCTTAGGAAGGCCTGCCTTAGATATGTAAAACAAATTTCTCTATTTTCTTCTAGAACTTTAATATCTTTAATTCTGAAATTTTCGCATATGAAAGAGCTTTTATTTTTCTATTTGAAATGCCACCTCTATAATAAATGTACTCATGGGGTTATTTCTGAATTTTAGTTTGTTCCACTATTTGGTCCCATTCCAGTACCTCCCTGTTACAAATACCCTAGCTTTGTAGTTCTGATGGGTATTTGGGGGAGTTCTCATTCTTCTTTTTATATATTTTTTAAAGATTTATTTATTCATTTGAGAGAGAGCGAGAGCATAAGCAGGGGGAAGGGGCAGAGGGAGAAGGAGGCTCCCCACTCAGCAGGGAGCCCGACGCGGGACTCGATCCCAGGACCCTGGGATCATGACCTGAGCTGAAGGCAGACACCTAACCGACTGAGCCACCCAGGCGCCCCTCATTCTTCTTTTTAAAAAAATGTTTTGGTTAATCTTGCACCTACATTCTTCCAGATAAAAAAATCATCTTGTTGATTTCCACTAGAAATTGTTAGAATTTTTACTTGAAATGCAACAAATTTATAATCTGAGGAGAATCTTATCTTTACAACACTGAGCCTACTTATCTAGGGACACAGCAGATTTTTCCATTTATTCTGATTTTCTATAACATCCATAAATGAAATTTTATGGTTTTTTAAGGTAGGTTTTGCTTATTTCTTGGTAGATTTCTAGAATGTTTCACCACTGTTGCTAACGTGCGTTCTTTACATTTAAGTCGATTGTATCTAGTTTATAAAAAATCTTCTGTATGTTGCTGAGAGCTTACCATCTTCCTGTCTTACAGATTTTCCAGGTAAACGATACCATTTATCTTAATTTTTCTTAATTTCTTCCTTTTCAATTTCATACCTTACTTCTCTCTCGCTTATTACTATTATACTGGATCCAAAAGTCTCAGAAGAATGTTGAATTGTATGAATGACAGGAGATATAACCTGGCTCATGACATTAAGTGTGCTATTTCTGGTTGATACCCTTCATCCAGTTAAGCAAGCCTCCTTTTGTTACTTGCTTAATATAAATTGTATTTTTTTAAAAATCAGTAATAGATGCTAATTTTTCAAGTGTTTTCATTACCACTTACGGCCATATAGTTTTTCTCCTTTATCTACTAATGTAGAAAATTTTCATTACTTGTCTAATGTTGACCATCTTTGTACTGGTAGGATTAACCCAACTTGGTTATGACATCATTCTCTAAATGCACTGTTGGCTTGTTTCCTTAGGTTTTTTGCATGACTATTCATAAGTGAGACTGAGCTAGGTTTTATTTTATTGTCTTTTTCGATTCTGCTATGGTTATGCGTTCATAGTTGGGACATACTCCAATCTTCTCTATGCTTTGTTCCTGGTGACTTCTGTCAGGGATATATATATAGGGCATTCTTTTATGATTATCAGTTTATTCAGGTTTTCTAACTCTTGAGCCAATTTTTTGAAATCTCTATTTTCCTGGAAAATTGTTCAAGTCAATTTTCAAGATTATTAGTATAAGGCTCTTCTAGGTTCACTTCTAATTATGGAAGTCCCTCGTATCTGTAATGTTCCGTTTCCAAATATTGCTTTCTTTTCTTTTTAGATTTGCTAAGTGTCTATTTATTTATTTATTTATTTATTTATTTTTAAAGATTTTATTTATTTGACAGAGAAAAGACAGCGAGAGCAGGAACACAGGCAGGGGGAGTGGGAGAGGGAGAGGGAGAAGCAGGCTTCCAGCGGAGCAGGGAGCCCGATGTGGGACTCGATCCCAGGACCCTGGGATCATGACCTGAGCTGAAGGCAGACGCTTAATGACTGAGCCACCCAGGTGCCCTTTTTATTGTTCTTTTCAAACAGAAGCTATTATTAATTTTATTTTCTATTTCATTAGTATCTGTTTTTATTAATTCCTTTAAGTTTATTTTGGGAGATTTTATTTTTTCTGCTTCTCTGCTATTTCAGTTTTCTTTTCTGATCCTTCCTGCCATTTGTGCATCCTTTAAGGATGTGCTGACCCTCAGTAAATTTATCCATACAACATCACAATAAACGAAGCCTTTACCATTATTATGTAAGTGGCTACAAACTCTGTATTAATTTGGAGTCAGTCAGAGTGGGTTCAATTCCCCACCTCCTACTTAAGTGATCTTGGCCACATGTGAGCAGTTTCTTCATCTGTAAAAACAGAAATAATAATACAGATTAAGTTTGAAACTATTTGCAAATCATTTAGCTTAGAAACTGGCCCCTATTAATAACTCAATAGACTTCTGGTAAGACAAAACACCTTAGTTGCCCTATTTCTAAAGATAAGGGGACTGGGATGACTAATCCCAAATTCCCTCCCGACTGTAAAAAAGATGATTTTCATTCTATCAGTTCATCCACCAGACAAGTAGCTGATCATCAAGCCACCTGCTAACCCACACCACAGCTACTAAGCCCTCCCCTTGAACTAAGTATTCTGAATGTCAGGAAAACCAAGATGAATGATGATATAGTCCCTACCTTCCAGAAACTCAGAGTCCTTGGGGAGTCGGGGTGAGGATCAACTGTTAAATAGGTAATGTTAATATAATGCGATAGTGGTCTAATAAAGGCTGTGAAAATTCAGAGACTTTGAGAAGTATGTCCAGCAAAATCAAAGATCTAGGCTGGACACCTAATTCAGGTACTTAATACTAGCTGCGAATCTTCAGGCAATTAACTTTGGTGCTTTTTGTCTCTATCTGTAAAAAGGAAGAGTAATACTGTTCTGGTAGGTTATGTTAAGGATTAAATAACAAAACTAATATAAAGTACTTAGTACAGTGTCAGACTCACAGGAATTCAGCAAATGGCAATTATTAATATTACCAATATTACAAGAGGCTATGGAAGTTAAAGTCAATTTACTGTATTTCAAGAGAGGTAAGATAGGGTGAAGGAAATTTCCCAAGTGTGTTTTAAGAACAAAACCTGTGGCAAAGAAATAGGATGGGAAAAACAAAAAAGGGTGAAAGGGGAATTAAGGTGGATGATACCCTTGGAGGGCAGAGAATTCTAATTTCTCTATTCTCCACTGCTAAACCCATGTATTTCCTTTTTCTTTTTTAAGTAGGCTTCACGCCCAACGTGGGGCTGGAACTCACCACCCTGAGATCGAGTCGCAAGCTCTACCAACTGAGCCAGCCAGATGCCCCCTCCCATTCCCCTGTATTTTCAATAAAGAGTGAATGGAAGAATACACATTAAGCAATAAGGTTAGAGAAAAAGATGTGGGCCAAACTGTTGAAAGTCAACATTTTACATCAAAAGGAACCTTGGAATTGGGAGTCAGGAATCCTGGGGCAGTCTTTTGACTACTGACCTGTGTTTACACTGGCTCCACAACTTACCTGTTTGTCCTCAGCGAATTACTGATACCTTAAATCGCCTCACCTACAAATCAGGGACAACACCTACCTTACAAAATTATTCTGAGAATTAAGCACCAAGCAATTACCCAAGAGCCTGGCACTAACAAGCATTCAGTAATGAAAGAGGCTGCAGCTGCTAACTTCTCCTCTGGGTCTTTCTCCATACCTGTGAAATGCTAGCTTACGCACATATTTTTTTCAATGTTCCAACTAGCACTGAAAAATTATACTAGGTTTTCCAAGGACGAAAAAAGGCCCCACCCGGCCCGCGCCACACAGGTCACCTACGCAACTGCAGTTCTGGAGTCTCCACCTGCGTCGCTGAGGCATGGAAAGCGCGATGGATGGTAGGCCATTAGAGAGACAGGGCCTAGATAGGCTGGATGTGAGACCGTGCCGAACTTCACGAACACGGGTTCTTACCATCCTCCGATTTCTCTAGAGGCGAAGCCTTGAAAAAGGTTGAGGGGAAGCCGGAAGTGACGCAAGGCCATGGGGGAAGTGGAAATGACGGCAGCACGCCGGAAGTTTACCCGTTTCCAAGGCAACGGCTCCACCACCCCTCCAACAGGTTGGCTGGAGTCGAGACGCTGGAAAGCAACTCCGAGGAGAGGGTACCAGCCCACGGCGGCCGCCGCCAGAACGACTCGCGAGGAGTAGTAACCGAAGACGGCGGCCGCCTCAGTAGCCATCGCGTGTGGAGGATCAACGGCCGACACGGCCAACGCGGAGGCCAGTTAAGAGAAAGAGTTAGCGAAGACCAGGACTTTAGTCCCAGCGAAGACTGGGAAAGAATCCGTGAAGACGGCGGCCATCTCTGTCGGGGCTCTACAGGAAGACTAAGTGAAGACCTCGGTTTCTCCCGCAGTGACTCGAGAAGAGTCCATGAAGACCTGGGCAGTGTCTCTCGCGAGAGACTTACGGGAGATGGTGGCCGCCGTCACAGCAGCTCCTGGGAGAGAGTAAGGGGAGCCCAAGGCTTCAGCAGCAGCGACGTGAATTTAAGTGAGGTCGGCAGCCACCGAACTAGTGACTGTGAGGGACTGGTCGGAGAAGACCGCGGCCTCTGCTTTAGTGATTCTTGGGAGGGTGTCAGAGAAGTCCCGGGCCCCCAACCCGGCGACTCCGGGGAGAGAGGCAGTGACTACTGCAGACGCCGCCTCAGTGGCTCTTGGGAGGAAGGGAGTGTCGATGGCGGCCACAGCCTCAGTAATTCCTGGGAGGGAGTAAGTGAAGACCGCGGCTACGCGGCCAGCGACTCCTCCGAGGTGAGCGTGAGCGTAGATGCCAGCCGCTGCCTCCGTGGCGTCTGGGAGAGAGAAAGTATAGACGAGGGTTTCCGCTGCCGGAGCTCTTGGGAGAAAACCAGGGAGGACCGGGTCCCCGGTCTTAGCGACGACGAAGGCAGCCACTGCAGTGGCTCGTGGGTGACAGCAAGTGAAGATCGCCGCAGCAGCGGGGGCCTGGACTCGAGTCCTCCCCGGAGTCCGAGGGATCGCACCATGCCAGGGGTGTCCGATTCAGGCCCCTCCACCTCCTCTAGGGAGACTGCAACCCCGTGTGAGTCAGACTACTTCGCTTACCTTTGTCTCTGCCACTGTGCTTTTCTCATTTCACCCACAGTAGCGTTGGCCCTTTCTGGCAGTTTCCTTTTTCAGCTGTGACTCCTAATTTCCCTTAACTGACCTATTTTAAGTGGGTCTCAAAGCTGTTCATCTGTTTCTCATCCTCCTTCACTTCAGCTTTCCTCTCTTTCTTTCCACCTGCATTATTCCTGAAACTTCTTGCCCAGATTGACATAAACGCTTGTTAAATGTTACGGACTCTTGGCTTCTCTGCAGCATTTGACCCTGCGGAGATGACTTTAGACTTACCTAGTTTTCTTCCTTCCACTCTGTTGACTCTCCCTTTCCCTTAGATGACTTTTCTTCCATCCTCTCCTTAAAGTATGAGAAGTATGCTGCTCACCCCCCCGCCCGAGATAATGCCATCACTAGTGCTTTTTTTCTGGTCGTGTACTATGACTTAAACCCTAGTGAATTCTGCGTTACTCAATCATCCAGTAAATATTAATTGAGTGCCTACTATTTGTTGTATCTTAAGGTTATATCACTGAAGAAGACAGGCACATTCCTTACCTTCTAGGAAGAAAGATAAATACTGAGCAAATAATAACTAGTGTGATGAATATTATAAAGAGTAGTGTGCTGTTGGCTTCAGTATGGGGTGAGGATGGGTATCAGAAAAAACTGAGGGACACCTAACACTGAGATCTGCTGCGGACTCATATATACAGCTCCCTTCTGGAACTCTTCCTTTGGCACCTCAAGATCAACATGTGCAAAATAGGATTTTGAATCCATATGCCCTCTCTGTCCTTCGGTGTCTGCTACAGGTAACTAAGCCAGACAGCTTGGAGTCATCCTATTTCTCCTCCTTATTTCATCCACTGTATGCATCGAAGTTCAATTCATTCTATTTGCATATTTGTTGAATCTGTCTCCCTTTCTGTTCCTACTGCCACTCTTTTAGTTGAGGGTTTCAACCTCTCTGGTGTAGACTACTGTAGCTTTCTTCTAACATGGTCTTCTTGAGTCTCCAGTCTTGCCTTTTTGCTCCCCTTCAGCAATAGGATGGTTTTGTGTGTGTGTGTGTGTGGTTTCTTGACCACATCCTACTGTTCATGCTGTCTAGGTTGCCTTTCCCTGTCCCCATTTTACCTGGCAAACTCCTGCTAATCCTTGAAGATTCATTTTAGATCTTACCTTCCCCAGAAATCCGTTCTGTTCCCCTTTCTTCCTACCCTGGCTGCGTTAGATGTCTTCTGTGCTTCCATAAGTTTTTATGACTATTTCTGTCATTGCTCCTACCATATTATTTTAAAATTTGTATTTGTATCTTTCTGTGAGTTCTTTGAGGACAGAGACCATGTTGTCTTCATCTTTTTATCTTTATGGTAGACACCAAATTAATGTTGAGTGGATGGATGGGTGGATGAATGAATGAATTGGGATGGGATGGGGTGAAAAAAAAAAGGCGTAAAATTAGATGGAGCCAAATTATGGGCTTGCATATATTGTCATTCTGAGAGTTTGGACTTTGTTCTCTAGACCAGCAGTGGATAACCAGAAGCAGTTAGTGGAGTAGAGGCATGAAGTGATCAGGATAGTGTCTCTGTATAAAGTGGATTAGAGTGGGTAGAACATCATTTGTAGATCTTGTAGTATTAGTTTAAAGGAGAAGAATGAAGGTCTGACCTAAGGGATTAACATCATTAAACATTTATTAAGTGACTTGGTTATTTTTGGTCCCTTCCTTGTACCCTTCCCCATATGGATATATCTTAATTGTTCTTCAAGGTCTTGCTTAAATGTTTACTCCTCCAAAGTCTTAATTTTACCTGTACTTTCTTAGTGCATCAGTCAGTTTTTTTTTATTTTATCGAATTTATCCAAGTAGATTTTATTTTATTTATTTTTTAATTTTTTATTGTTATGTTATATCCAAGTAGATTTTAAAGTGTTGGTGGAAAGAAAATGTATTAAATCCATGTCCATTTTCCATCATATTGAAGTGGGAGAGCTAGGTTCTTGTCTCATGGAATCGAAGAATGAATCTCATAGTCAAAGGAGAGTGAGTAAAGTGGTAGAGTTTTGTTAAGCAAGGATACAGAAAAAGCTCTCGAGAGTGAGAGGGTTGCCACTGAGGGTTTTTAGTGGCTATCTTTTATTGAGAACTGACTGGGAAATTTGTGGCCTTGGGATTCTTGTGCCATCTTGGTTTGAGCAAGGACTATTGATAACACCCTTAATGACTTAATTTTTTGAGGTTTGGTCATTTTCTGTGATACACTGTAGCCGCCAAAGAAGAATACTCCCAAGCATCCGAAGCCACGTGGTCTTTTCTTATATCCTGTTCACTCTGTTTTAGCGCTTCTGCCTGCCAGGAAGAGTCTCAGAGCCTAGCCAGGAGCCCCCAGTCTTTCCCTGCCTATACCTTAACCCTTTCCTTATTCAATAATATCAAAGTGCTTGGCACATGGTAGATGCTCAGAAAGGATTTTTGAATAAAATGTGCATCATTTTGTTAAGGGGTGGTGTAAGATATGATTCCAGCCCTCAAGAAATTAACATTTGAGTTGTGGAGAAAGGAGATATACATAGATAAGTAGTAGTACAGATTGCATAGATTATCTACCAGAAATGTTGGTGAGTTCTTTCGAAAACAATTTGAGGTCAGGAATCATGTCTTTTTGTTTAGGAAATGCTTTGATTAAACTCTCTTCTTCTTTCTCCTCCAACAACTGTTTGTTCATGCTTAGATACCTTTGTTCCTTCTGGCTTCAGGTACACATTAAAATACTTCACAGTCGCAATGTAGTCTCGATGTTTGGAACATTAAATTATAAAATATAAGACCACTGGGTGTATGAAGTAAACATGTGACCTGCCATTCCTTTCTTAGTGTAGTACATATGAGAAGGATAAGAAAAATAGATTGATAGAATATATCAGCCTATGTGAGATAAGGCTCTGGTAAAATCACTGGAGAGTAGGTCTCTCTTATGGAGAATGCACTGGGTATATTTCAAAATGGTTACTTTCCCCCTTTCCCTGACAAAGACATGAAGTGATTCTTTTTGACTTTTCACAGTGATAACCTGGTGGGATTTACCCTGGTGGGACAAAAATCTATGAAAATGTGGGGGCCTTCTAAGACTGTGGCCCCAGAGAGTTCTCACTCATAGGCTAATACTTGCCCAGCCTCTAGCAATTTGTCAAAATTACCATTTCAGTGGTTTTGGCTCCAGGTAAGCTGAACTTGTTTGTGTTTTTCTGTATTTGTGTGTCTCTCCAGACTCAGGGAGGCAATTGGCCCTGAGACCTTGGTTCTCTGATGAGTCCAAGAAAAGTTGTTGATTTTCTGTTTGTTCAGCTTTTCCTCTACCTATGGGAGTGATAACTTCGGTGCTCTTCATGTGTTAGAGCTGAAATGGAAGTCTGATTGAGATGTTAATCACAAACATCTTTGTGGTAAATTGTTTGGAAAACCAAAGTGATTTTGTGCTTTCTGTTGAATCATTGCTTTAGTCTTTTTTTTTTTTTTTTTTTTTTTTAAGTTTTGTAATATATGTTAAGCAATTTGATTTTCAATAGGTGCCCGGAAGAAGGTGCATTTTGGTAACATACATGATGCAGTACGGGCTGGAGATGTAAAGCAGCTTTCAGATATAATAGAACGAGGAGTCTGCATTAATGAAGTTGACATTCTCCATAAGTTTAGCCCTTTACATTGGGCAGCACATTCTGGAAGTTTGGAGGTAAGAAGCTCTATAAATTATTAAACTGAAGTAAGTTTACAACTGTTAGCAGTTTTGAAAATTTAGCAAACAGGACTGAGACTTTATGCTAGGCACTGGAAATACTTTTCATTTCATTGTAATATTTGTTGTTCTGGTTACTATGCCTTTGTAACAAATTATCCCAAAAGGTAGTGGCATAAAGTGACCATTTGTGCTCAGGAGTAAATTAGGAATTTGGATCTCAGAGACAGCTTGTTCCTGTTTCGTGATGTGTGGGGCTTCAGCTGGAAGATTTAAATGCTGGGTCTGGAATCTTCTGAAGGCTTGTTTATGCAGATGTCTAGTGGAAGATGCTGGCTCTACGTTGGCCACCTTAATTCCTCTCCATGTGGGTTTTTATGTGAGGTCTCTACACCTGGGCTCGTTTGTGATTCCTTACAATGTGGTGACTGAGTTCCAAAGGCAAGCAGGGAAGGTAATTTATAGAGGGTAACATGACTATCTAGCTCTGTCAATCCTAACCTTTTTCCTAGAGTTGCATGTGAAGTCCCTTAGCACCCCTCTCAGGTGCCATTCCTCTCCTTCCAACTCCAGAGATAAAACTACAACCCTGAATATGGTGTTTAATATTCCCATCTATACTTTATGTTGTTATCACATATGGTTATAGCGTTGTTTTTAATGACATTTTATGTAAATGACATCATCCTGTGTATCATCTTGTAGCTTGCTTTTTGTGTTCAACAGTGTGTTTTTGAGCCTTAACTATGTGGTTACATCTATGTACTCCATTTCTTTCAGACACGTTCCAATAACGTCTTCTTAGATTAATATCAGAATTTATCCACTTATTGATTGATGGCTATTTAGTGGGTTTCAATTTTTAGCTAGTACAGGTAGTGCTTAGTGAATATTTTTTTTTAAAAGATTTTATTTATTTTTTGACAGAGAAAGACAGTGAGAGAGAGAACACAACAGGGGGAGTGGGAGACAGAGAAGCATGCTCCCCGCTGAGCAGGGAGCCTGATGTGGGGCTCGATCCCAGGACCCTGGGATCACGACCTGAGCAGATGCTTAATGACTGAGCCACCCAGGCGCCCCCTTAGTGAATATTCTTATGCAAAACTTATTCTTGGGTTTTGTGCAAAGCCACCTGAACTTTTTCCTCATGATTCGAGATTGTGTGGAGCTTATTTTCATGACTACATTTCTCCAGCCTATATAGGCTGCAGTGGGTCTGTTCACTACAAAGTCTCTTGTTGCCCCTGCCACACAGAGACTGCTTTCTATGAATATGGTTTCTCTGTGTGATTTCTTGTTTGTTTGGCCTTCTCTGCTTCTTGGAACCAAATCTGGTCCAGAGAATTATATTAAATAGCTTGAACTTTATCCTATAGGGGATAGAGTCACTACATGGACTTAAGAAAGGTTTCAAGTAACATCAGATATTATTTTGAGAGCGATAATTTTCTACTGATAACTTCATACTCTCCACCAGTTTGTGTGCCCTGCTTGAACTGTTGTAAACAAGGATTTTTGCTTTGGTCTTTTAGTGGCTTCCTTTCACCTAGGAGAAATGTGCCTTGCCAGTTCTTTCTGAGTTTATAACCCTGGGTGGGTATTTTTTCTGTTTCCTTCCGCATCCCTTTTGGATCTACACTTTGGCAGATTTCCCATATGTTCTCTGGTTTCAGATGTCTCCTAGTTTCATCAAAGATGGGGTTTTCTTCCTGTTTATCTTGCCTTTTTTTTTTTTTTTTTTTTGATGATTTTGAAGAAAGGAAGAAGTGATCTTATTCTGCCATATTCAGATAGGATGGGGTGTCCTCTCTTTCCTGGTATCCTTTCAGCCTTTCTGATTACTCTCAGTCTTCTTTGGTTAACCTCCTCTGCCTTCTGTACAGATACAGATATTTTTTTTTTCTTCTGCTAATGACCTTTTCTCTCCTACTTTATATCCTCTCTCTAGGTAGTCTTTTAGAGTTCCTTGGCTTTATCACTACTGCATAATAATTCATTGATTTGCTTTCTCTCTTGAACTCTGGCTTATGTATCAGGTGCTTGATCAACAGCTCAGGCATATCTAATAGGATCTCAAGTTGGTTTAAAACTAAACCAAGTATCCTTTTCCCTCCCTTTCTTAGTTTTCCAGGCTAATGACTTTGCATCATTATTGCATTGTCTCCGTTTTTTCCAGAGGCAAAGCACAGTATCAACATGTGTCTGAAGGTGCACTTCATAATGCACATTGATGCAGTGAGAACTGATTACTAGATCCTTGATTTTGTTCCGTCTTTGTCTCCTGAGTTTGTCCTCTCCATCCTCCTAGCCACTGCTTTCGAGCTAATTGATTTTCTTCTTTTCTGTCTCATCCACCTTTAGTTCATATTCAGTATAAAGTTATCCCTCTAAAACTAATATCTGATGTTACTTGAAACCTTTCTTAAGTCCATGTAGTGATTCTATCCCCTATAAGTCATAATAAAGTTTAAGATATTTACTAGAAGGGACTTCTCTCTCCAACCTCATCTCCCATAATACTTGTTTTACTCTGTGGTACTGGTAACTACTGTCAGAGAGTGAGTATAAGCAGGGGGAGCAGCCGAGGGAGAGGGAGAAGCAGGCTTCCCTCGGAGCAGGAAGCCCAATGTGGGGCTCTGTCCCAAGACCCTGGGATCATGACCTGAGCTGAAGGCAGACCCTTAAGTGACTGAGCCATCCAGGCATCCCTATATATTAATTTTTATTGGATATTTTATTTTTATTTTTTTTAAAGACCAAGTCACCCAGGCGCCCATATATATATAAATTTTTTTAAATAGGTTTTTTTTTAAGATACCTTTTTTATTTATTTGTCAGAGAGAGAGAGCGCAAGCAGGGGGAGTGACAGGCAGAGGGAGAAGCAGGCTCCCTGGTGAGCAAGGAGCACGATGTGGGACTCCATCCCAGGACCCTGGGATTATGACCTGAGCTGAAGGCAGACCCTTAAGTGACTGAGCCATCCAGGCATCCCTATATATTAATTTTTATTGGAGATTTTATTTTTATTTTTTTTCCTAGGCAAAGAACTTTATTAACCTTGTTTCAAACTTTATTCCCAGGCTTCTTCAGCTTAATTAGCTGCAAAGAATGAATTGTGTATAAGCAAAAACTGTAAAGAGCTGCAGTGTCCAAGGGGCTTTGACTTAAAAATATTAGAGATGTAGATTTTATCAGATCCATGAACAAAATTTTAAAAAGCAGTCGTAATATAAAATAGCAGCTCCCAGTAACTTCTTCAAGTTTTATCTTCTTCAGAAGTTGACTCAATTCAGTTTGCTTCATTCTTGGAAGCTTCATCAAAATTCTCCACAAGATCTGGAACTTCATCATCATCATCCTCTCTGGTAGCAAGTGGTGCTTTTCCATCCACAGATTGTTTGGGCAGAGCTTCAGCCAGTCTTCTTAAACTAGTCAGACTGTCTGCACCGAGTTGGTTTAAGATACTAGGTAGCATTTCTGTCAGCTGCTTTGTCTCAGCATGGCCTGAATGGTGAAAGTGTTCACGGCCAGCAACGCCTGAACTTCGGGGTTGTTAAAGTGGATCACTGGTCCTTGGTTTGTGAACATATTCACTTCTTCAATACCAGAGATATTGTTTACCCCTAACTTCTTTAAGGAGAGCTACAGTTGGGGCACCTGGGTGGCTCAGTCGTTAAGCGTCTGCCTTCGGCTCAGGTCATGATCCCAGGGTCCTGGGATCGAGCCCCGCATCAGGCTCTCTGTTCAAAAGGGAGCCTGCTTCTCCCTCTCCCACTCTGCCAGCTTGTGTTCCCTCTCTCGCTGTCTCTCTCTGTCAAATAAATAAATAAAATCTTAAAAAAAAAAAAAAAAAAGGAGAGCTACAGTTTTTTATCATCTGCTGTAGCCGTTCTATGAACCACCTTCTTCTTTTGCCAAGCAGTTCCTTTCCCACCAGTGCGCACTTGTGCTTGCAGTTTGGTGAGTTTCTCCTGGTTCATGAAAGTTTCTTTCATCTTGTTGGAGCGGAAATGGGACCGTGCGGGGGGAAAAGGATTGGCGCTCAGGGGGTCTCGGGTGGACCAGCTGAGATTAGGTCTATTTTTATTTTTTTTTTAAAGATTTTATTTATTAGAGAGAGAGAGAGTGACAGAGCACAAGCGAGGAGAGGGGCAGAAGAAGAGGGAGAAGCAGACTCCCCACTGAGCAGGGAGCCCGATATCGGGCTTGGTCCCAGGACCCTGAGATCATGACCTGGGCCGAAGACAGATCCTTAACTGACTGAGCCACCCAGGAACCCCTGAAGATTTTTATTTTATTTTTTAAGTAATCTCTATACCCAACATTGGGTGACTCACAACCCTTAGTCACATGCTCCACTAACTGAGCCAGCCAGGCACCCATGTATATATATATATTTTAATAAGTGTACTCTTTAATCCCCATCACCTATTTCAGCTACTCCCTGTCTACCTCTTCTCTGATAACCATCAGTTTGTTCTCTATAGTTAAGAGTCTGTTTCTTGGTTTGTCTCTCTCTTTTTTTCCTTTGCTCATTTGTTTTGTTTCTTAAATTCTACAAATAAAGGAGATCATATGGTATTTATCTTTCTCTGACTTATTTTTCTTTGTCTATATTTTCTATTTGATGAGTCATTGTCATCATACTTTCCTTTAATTCTTTAAATATAAATTCTTTTAAAAATAATTTCTTTTAGTTCTCTGAAGCTATTTATAATAGCAGCTTTGAAGTCATGCTAAGTCCAACATCTGGGCCCTCTCAGGGATAGTTTCTATTGATTATTTTTTTTTTCCCCTGTGTATGGGTCACACACTCTTTGTATAATTATAATCTCATAATTTTTTAGTTTGCCTAGACATTTTGAAAACTGCACATTTTAGATTATATATTGTAGCAGCTTTGAATTCTGATGCTATTCACCCCATCCCTCCCAGATGTGCTTGTTGCTATGTATTTGCTTGATTGACTTGCTTAGACTAATTGTGTGGAGTCTGTT